ATTAACAGAGTTGGAAGGGACCTTGTAGGTCATCTAGTCCAACCCCCCAACCCAAGCAGGAGAACCTACACCATTTCTGACAGATGGCAGTCCAATCTAAATAAAAGGTGAATAAAAATAATGGTAAATAAAACTGTGTTTCTCAAATCTGGCCACTTTAAGAGTGGGGAATTCTGGGAACTAAAGTCCTCACGGCTTAAAGTGGCCAAGCTTGAAAACCACAGATACAGAATCTGCTTCCAGAATTCTACCACAGACGAGTCCTCGACTTACATGGACTTGACTTGCTCAGTGAGAAAAGTGTTAAAAGCGAGTTTTGCCCCATTTTACGACTCTTTTCGGCACCGTTGTTAAGTGAATCACTGCAGTTGTTAAATGAGTAACCTGGTTGTTAAGTGAATCTGGGTTATCCCTTGGCTTTGCTTGTCAGAAGGTCTCAAAAGTGGATCACGTGACAACCCCCCCCCCCGGACACTGCAATGGACGTAAATATGAAACCAGTTGCCGATTGTCTGAATTTTGATCACATGATCGTGGGGAACGCTGCAATGATGGTTAAGTATGAAAAAACGGTCTTGTCACTTTTTCCAGTGCCGCTGGAACCTCGATCACTAAGAGGACTGTTGTAAGTCAAGGACTAGCTGTATTGATAAACAACCTTGTGCAGTCTGTGAAAGGCCCTAATATTGAGCATGAGTCACTTAACCCCTGCCTCGCTTAGCAACGGGAATTCTAGATCCAATTGGGATAGTAAATCGAGGACTATCTCCAGAGCAAACAAAGGGATGTGATGTTATATTCTCTGACAATGTTGTGGTTAGTAAGTGAGGACGGCTGAGGAGAGCGAGGACTCAGATGAGGGGCCAGGACCATCAGGGAGTGGACTGCTGCCTTGAGAGATTGTGGGGGCTGGCAGCAGCGATGAGGAGGTTCCAGAGGAGCCTGTGCCAAGTGCGCATATGCGCAGGGCTGTTCTCAGGAAAGAGCAGCTGCAGCAGCACGGGCGACTTGGGAGTAAGGCTGCAAGGTAATGGCCCCTCCTTCAAGAAAGCCAGCTGTGAATCGGACGTTCTTTGCAGGAAGCAAAGACGTTCTGAAACTCGAGCCTCGTGGACATTGCAGTATCTTGTTGGTATTTGAAGACTCTTGTGTTGTAAAATATTTCTAGGCAACCTTATCTGTTATTCTTGGCAGCCTTGCACAGTTTTGGTGAGGCTCTGGCTTATCAAAGTGAATTAGTGTGCAGCAGCCTTTTAAATGGGGATTCGTAAGAATCATTAAAAGGTTTCTGTTCCCTTTGTTTCGTGTTTGTTTTATTGGACAAGGGTTTGGGTGAGAACAGACAAGCTGCATGGAAAGTTCATTCCTTGGCACCCTTCTGAGTAAAGACTCCTCAACTTACAACAGTTCATTTAGTGGCCATTCAAAGTTGAAACAGCCCTGAAAAAAAAAGACAACATTTTCACACTTACAACCGTCGCGAAATCCCCACGATTATGTGATGCAAATTCGGAAGCTTGGCATCTGACTTGTATTTATGACAGCTGCATTGTCCTGGGATTTTACGACCATCTGACAAGCAAATATCAGTGGGGAAGCTGGATCCACTTAACGACCATGTGACTCATTTAACAATGGCAGCAATTGCCTTGACGAAGGTGTCCAGAAAGGTCATAAAATGGGGCAAAAGTCCCTTAACACCCATCTCGCTTAGCAACATGAAACTTTGAGCTCAATTGTGGTCGTAAGTTGAGGACTCCCTTTATAGGCTTGAATGTTTCGGTGTCAACATGATCCCCGTTTTGCGACCTTCTGACTTGCAGAGTCCATGGGGAGGCCTGATTCACTTAACAACTGTGTGACTCATTTAACAACTACAGCGATTCTCTTAACAACGGCGACAAGAAAAGTCGTAAAATAGGGCAAAATTCACTTAACACCTGTCTCAATTGCCGTCGGAAATCAAGGACTACCTGTATATAAATAGCCTTGCAGATAACTTAGACAAAACCGGAAATTATTTAGGTACTGTTTCCCTGAATATACGACCTACCCTGAAAGTAAGACCTAGCTTGATTGTTTACACATGTGCCCAAGCCCTAACCCCAAAATAAGCCCTAATTAAGATCCCGCCCACTTCAGAGTAGATGGGTAAAAATTAAGCTGGTGGGGTGGACAGTAACCTTTGGACAGGTGTAGCCAGGCCTCGTACCCCACAACACCTGCCTTCCCGGTCCATTTCTTCTGCAGCCGGCAAGGCTGGCAAGGCTTTCCTGAAGGCCTCTGGAGCTGAGAACAAGCTCTGGATTGATCCTGAGCTCTGTTATCAGCTGCAGAGCCCTTCAGGAAAGCCTTGCTGGCCTCAGAAGAATTAGTTCCTGAAGGCCTCGACCACGAAAAGGAGGCCGGGGGCAACGCGCGCAAGTGAGGTTAGTCAGTGGATGACATCCCCCCAAAATAAGACCTGGTGCCATTTTTGGTGGCACAAAATATATATATATATATTATATATTATATATATTATATATATATATATATATATATATATATATATATGAATGAATGACAGGGTCTTATTTTGGTGGGGAAACACAATATACATCTATCTCAAGAAAAGCGAATAAACACCCTATAATTGGTTTTCAGCGGAAACCAAAGATTCCCAAAGAGATTTTAAGAGATTTTAATGCATGGAGATCACACATTCAGGCCAAAAAGAAAAGAGTTTTCTTTCCTAAACTTACGACAGAAAGAACTCAGGAGCCCTGCAAAGGCAGTTCAATACAAGGGGAAAATACTTTTTTTAAAAAAAATATCCGAAGGGAGCGAGCCAAGCCCCTCCTGAACAAACACAGCCAAATTTGGGAGTAAAGAGAGCCTGTCCGACTTTTTGGCCCAGGATCAAAGGGAAGAAGTGATGTCACCCTGTGGTTTTTCACAGGGCCGGAGAATTTTATGCCGCACAATATAAACTTTTTCGGCGAGGGGAACAAAAAAATAAAAAACACACAGAAGGATCTGGATATTTTTGTGCATGTTGGCAAAGGTTTGTTTTTGCCAGCTCGGCGGTCTGAACCAAACAAAAGAAGAGGAGGAGGAGGAGGAAGAGGAAGAGGGAAGAGGAAGGAGGAGGAGGAAGGAGGAGGAAGAGGAGGAGGAAGAAGAAGAAGAGGAGGAGGAGGAGGAAGAAATAGAAGTAGAG